AATAAAATAAAGGTATTGTGTCCATGTATAACTGGGAAAAAGCTGCTATTTTAGAATATGTAATTGTCAGGAATACACTCCAAAAGCGCAGACCACCTTCATATAGGAAGCTACATGAGATGCATTAATAGCAAATATGGAAGACAGGGTACAGGGCAGAAGGCCTATACATTACACAGGTGTACACTGAATTTTACACCATGAGACAGAAAGTGCACTTTTACCTCAAGTTCACGGGGCACATTTGCAAAGCCAACACTAGGTGCGACAATTTGTATCTCAGGTGTGCCCTCAGGCTGACGCTATTATTGAGAGATGGTAAAAACTTTAGGAGACAGGACTAGTGGAGGAAGTTAGGTCACTGGGGTGTGCCCTTGAGAGGGACTAGGACATCTGTCTTTTTGCCTCCTGGCTGCCCTGAAGTGAACAGGCCTCCTCTGCAAGGTGCTCCTACTAAGAGGTGCTGCCTCATCACAGGTCCTAGCTGGAGGCTAGCCAACTGAAACGGCTGAGCCCAGCTGAGCCAAAATAAACCTTTCCTTTTAAAAAGCTGGTCATCTTAGGCACTTTGTTACAACAATGGAGGGCTGATATAATAGCTCACAAAGAAAATATCAGTAAATTTCATGAAGCAGAATTATTATGAACACCACGACTCTGATCACAATGCAAAAAACCCAACATGGTTCTCCCTCCTGAAACATAAAAGTTGGCTGCTACACTACTGGTGAAAGGTAAAAAGTTGCCTGGAGATCACAGGATTTCTTTCTTTTTTTATGGTGCTGGGTACTGAACCCAGAGGTGCTTTAACAATCAGACACATCCCTACCCTTGTTTTAAAATCAATCAATCAATTAATAAATACCAGGGATTGAACTCAGGGGCACTTAATCACTGAGTCATATCCCCAGCCCTTTTAAAAAATTATTAATTTTTAATAATAAATATAAATTATTAATTACACAAATGGAGCAGACAAAACTTCCCATTTCTCTGGTTGTACCTGACATGTCCCAGTCCTTTTTTTAAAAATATTTTTTAGTTGTAGATGGACACAATATCTTTTTTTAAAAAATATTTATTATTTATGTTTTTTAGTTTTAGTTTGTTTTTATGTGATGCCGAGGATCAGGATCGAACCCAGTGCCTCATGCATGCTAAGCGAGCACTCTACCACTGAGCCACCAGCCCAGCCCCATGGACACAATATCTTTATTTATTCATTTATTTTTATGTCGTGCTGAGGGTTAAACCCAATGCATCACATGTGTGAGGCAAGCACTCTACTACTGAGATACAACCCAAGAGCCACCTTTTATATATTTTATTTAGAGATAGGGTCTTACCAAGTTGCTCATGGCCTCACTAAGTTGTTGAGGCTGGCTTTAAACTTGCAATTCTCCTGCCTCAGCCTCCTGAGCCTCTGGGATTACAGGCATGTGCCACTACACTTTTATTTTGAGAGAGGACCTTACTAAGTTGCTGAGGCTGGCCTCAGACTTGCCATCCTGCTATAACCTCCCCAGTTGCAGGGATCATAGGTATACACCACCATGCCCAGTAGAAATCATAGAATTTCTAAAACTGAAAACTAACGGAAAAATTATAACTATATATACAAAAATCAAAACTCCTGGATATATTTGAAGCAACGATTAGAGGAAAATTCCAAAAGCCAATCCACCTTTTATCAATAAAAATAGGGGAAATGAAAACTAATTCAATTTCTGAATCAAAAAGTTAGAAATAAGTCTGGGCGTGGTGGTGGGAACTGGGAAGCTGAGGGAGGAGGGTTGCAAGTTTGTGGCCAACCTGGGCAAATTAATGAAATTCTGTCTGAAAATAAAATGGAAAGGGCCAGGATGTGTAGCTTAGTGGTAGAGATACCCTAAGTTCAATTAAAAAACAAACAAACAAACAAACAAAATACACCAAGAGAAAGAATAAAGTAAAATGAAAGAGAGTTCATGGAGCAAATAGAATAGCATTAATGAGGTAGAGAAAAACGTAATACTAATTAACAAGAGTATGATAAAAAACAACAACAACAACAACAAATCACTAACTTAGGCCAAACAGGAAGACAGCACAGAGAGAGAAAATAAGGAATGATGAGGACAAACAACAATGAGAAGATATTTAAAGTAAGTAATAATTCTACTTTGTAGACATCTCTGCAAACACATTTAAAAATTAAGGTAAAAAGGAAAACTTACTATGAGAAGGCAGTTCTCCCAAAATTAACTTCATTATATGCAGAAATATGAGAACATTTGACATGAAGAGAAAAAATTACCAAGAAACTACCTCACCAAAAAAATAAGAAAAACAAAACCCACCAGGCCCAAGGGACTACAAAGGAGAATTCTATCAAACATCTAGACATTTGCAATATAGCAGGAATTATTCTACAACAAAGTTTACTAATTCTTTTTTTGAAGCAAGTATAATATTATACCCAAAGTTGATTTAAGCAGTACACATACCCCCAAAAAAAATTAGAAAAAAGGAAGTCACTGAGTCCTGTCTCTCACGAATTAAAGTAACAGCAAATAGAACTCCGAAATCAAAGAATAAAATTCGCCACAAGTGAGCTTTATTCCAGGAATCTGAGAGCGATACAACATAAGCAGATTTAGTAGAAATACACAGCACATGAATAGGCCTCAGAAGAAAAGTCATTATTATCTTCAGGGACTCTAGAATACCACTGATAAAACTCAACACCCATTCCTCATAAACACATGCAAGCAATGGAGGAGGCATTGAATATTTTCCCAACATGATAAAATATATAAACCTTAGTCCTAGGGCCAGTAACTCAACATTCACGTGGAAACTCCTACAATCAGGAAAAGTCTAGTTAAACACGAGAAAGCATATAAAGAAAGACTGGAAAGGGAGAAGAAGAGCTTTCTTGACCAGATACACAACACACCTGGAAATCCCCAGAAAGCCAGCAATAAGACCCAAATTGTGAAACAGGTGGCTGAAGCAGAGGATATGGCGTTAACAGAGTCGACAGCTGTCACACACACCATAACCAGCTGGGCAGCACTCTCCAGCAGAGATCTGATTCTAGCCACATTAAAGAAATCAAAAACAAACAGATGAAATTAATTTTAGTAATTATTTAATAAAATAATTACTAAAATTAATTAAAATTAAAGGAGAGAAGAGCCCACGCAACATTTATAATATACAAAGCCTCTAACACACTCATTCAATGCAATACTGGCACAGAACTAAACAGGCAGAGAACAGCAAGTGCAGAAACAGCCCAGTATACACAGAAACTGCTCGAGTCTCGAGTGCAGTACTAACTTCTCAGTAACTGGTGATGAGACAAGTGGTTCACTAACAATTTGGAAAAAGGTAAAACGATTCCATTCCTCACACCATACACAAGATCTAAATGGGCCTGGGGATGTGGGGAGGAACCACTCAATCACTAGCAGGAAACATGGGCACATTTTTCTTTAACCCTGGATTAGGGTATGACTTTCTACCAGTCATTCAAACACCAAAGGCAATTAAAGATTAATAATAATGCTGACTATGTAAGAGCGAAAAAGGAAATTTCCATATGGCTGAAAAACATTAAGAAAGTCAGAAGACAACATATGAATTTGGAGAAAACATCTGTAGCATATTCCATAGTTAAAAAGACAATATCCCTAATACATAAAAAATTGTTAAAAACAGAATAAACAAGGCAAGCACAGTGGTGCACACCTGTAATCCCCGCTATTCTGAAGGCTGAGGCAGGAGGATCCCAAGATCAAGGCCAGCCTGGGCAATTTTGCAAGATCCTGTCTCAATTTTTTTATTTTAAAATAAAAATATTTTAAAAAGGAAGTTGGAGATGTAGTTCAGTGCTTGCCTAGCATGAGTGAGGCCCTGGATTCAATCCCTAGTGTCACAAGCAAAATAAAACAAAAGCTTGGCCAGGAGTGGTGGCACACTACTGGACCTATAGGAGATGCTGCTCAGAGGACAGCTTTTGCACAACATGAGCAACACCCGGGATTCCATCACCAGTACCACCAAAAATAAATAAGTAAATAACTCATACTCTGTTGGCCAGATTGTGGCAAATTTACTCAGATGCTGCTGGGTGGGACTGACTGGAGCTTTGGGGTAGAACTTGGAGGTGACTTAGCAAAACTACCTACGCACTTACCTTTTGATCCAGCAGTACCTCTTCCAAGAAATTACTGTGAAGATACACTTCCAAACAACTTGAAAACAGACACACACAACAGTGTTCACTGTAGAACTGTTTATAATTTCAAAGTACTGCAACAACCTTAATTGCTGCACATAGGGCAACGGTTGAATAAAGTGCAGACATTTAAAATATAAATATTATGCAGCTATAAGAATGAGGAAAATCTCTAGGAACTGATTTGGAATGTTCCCAGAATACATTAAGTTTATAAAAAAGGAGAAAAAGCAAAAGCAGGTGAAATCTACAGTTTTTACAATGGCAAAAGCAGGCAATTCTGCAAGTTCTTCATGTGTGTTCTAGGGCTGGGCAAGTCAGTAGGTGTGCGGTGGACAGTGGGACTTGGGCTCTCACCTCAGAGGGGCTGCTACCAACACAGCAAGGGCAAAGACAAAAGAGCACCCCTGGACTCCCAGTTCATAGCACAGACCCTAGCTTATTGGTCGCACAGGGGAAACATCAACCTGACTATGGAAAGGTCCCCCATATGCAGATCCAACCACAACATATCAAAAATATTCAGAAAAAATCTGCATACTCTTAATAGCTTTTTGATAAGTCTAAAAGTGTTTCAAAATAACAAAAATATGATAGCCATGACTATGGGTCCCTCACTGTTGGTGAAAAAGTCACAAAAGGCACATAGTCAATCAAGGACAGGCAAGAGCATTCCACCCACCAGGGTGACTATCACAGAGGCCAGGCCCAGTGCCTGCCTCACAAAGAACAGTAACCACCCACAGGCTAGAAACACTCCCCGTTTTGTATTTACCAATTGAACTGCTGGCTCGCTCTCCTTTCTTCTTCTTACTTTTCTTATTCTTGCCCTTTGGCTGGGGAGAATCTGCCAGTATGAGCCGACCGTTCTGCTGATGCTGGCTGGGAGATGGGGGCTCCGGAAGGGCTGGGTTCGACTTCTCCTCCTTGATGTGGTTTAGCTGCTTTTTGTTATTGTTATTACTATTAACTTTTCTCTCTTCTCTTTTCTGCTCTGAGAGGGAAGTGAGTTCAACCACTTTAGCCTTTGCCTCAGTCTGGGCCCGGGGCTTGGGCTGACCCTCTGTGGCTTTGGGGGGCTCTGTGGGCTTCCTTGCTGGCTCGATACTGGCCTTACTAGTCTGCTTTAGCTTCTGTTTCCCATTTCCCTCTTTATGGTGATGCATCATGTCCAAGAAAAAAGCTAGTGGCTCATGCTGCTTCCCATTGACCTCCCTAGGGAGGAGGAGTTTGGAGTCTGTGGCCTCAACAGGGTCTGCAGTATCCCCATCCACTCCCAGCCCTGGCCTGGGCTCTGAGTGGTTTACATGTGTTGAAGGGGAGAGAGATGAGGTTTCTGGTTCTTCGGATTGCTCTACTGAGCCATTGTGAATATTTTCAGAGTTAGGGACAGACTCTGTCACTGCCTGGAAGTTTCTAGCAAGCATGTCCAGTTTGGGACAGTCTTTACTTGGCCTCTCCTTCTTCTTCTTCTTTACAGTTCTTAGCTTCTGAAGCTCTTGAAGCCGCTGAAATTCTTCCTTGAAATGATGCTCCTCCTCCTCTTCTTCTTCCTCCTCCTCCTCCCGCCGCCTCTGCTCCTCCTGGAGGTGCAGATGCTCCCGTGCCCTGGCCTCAGCTTCCAGGCGTGCCTTCTCCTCCAGCTATTGATGCAAAAGAAAAGAAACAGGTGGCTGAAGACCATCGTAAGAATCTAAAAACTGATGATAAGTACAGAAAACTGAAGAGTTTAAAAAATGAATTACATAATGGAACATAAACTTTGGAAGAGGCAATAAGAAGTCAGAAACTTAAAATACCTAATTCCAAGAATGGTTAGATTTTATGTATCTACCAAATAATATGCTTACTTTTAGAGGAGGAGTATGGGGTTGAGGTGGGCTAACATAAGCTGCTTTATAGCCTCTGGCTGAGTCTGGGAGACTGGCTGCTCCTTGCATGTGCTGCCCAGCCAGAGGGTGGTGAAGCTTGGTACACAGAGGGTCAATGGCGGTGACTGTCTGCCATGCAGACTGGGCTCTCAACAAGCTCCTCTGCCTGTGGGTGCTGATGCTGATCCATTCATCAGCATCAACAGGACAGTGCAAAAAGTGCCAAAAAAATAGAAGCTTTTTCCCACCTTGGCAGATAAACCAAAGTACCAATATATTTTTATGAGTGTGAAAGAACAAATGGCTTTCAGAAATAGTCAATGTTACATGGCAAATAAGGCATCAGTTTTGCTGTGCAACTTGAGAGGAAATTAACCAATATGAGCATGGTGCAGATCTGGATCCAGGCTGCCTGTGAGGTCTGAGACAGGAGCCTGGGGTGAAGAGAATACCTACAAAGCACTTCGAGGTCTCCAAGGCCACTGACCACTCTGGACAGAGAACCTACCTTGCTGTCCCTGAGTAGGCTCAGCAAATTTAGATCTTCTGAGCCCAGCCTAGCACAGGCCCCCCCCAAGTCCCTGATTAGCCTTCAAAGTCAGGTGGTCCTCCTTTTCAGGACTGTGGTGGCTTATCTGCCTACTGAAAAATCACCTCAGAATCATGCACAATGAGGCTGAAAGCGGCAACACAGCCCAACTTCTGGTCCATGATGCCATTGTTCTTATGTCTTTGTCTGACCACCCTGAAGGCAAGAACCTTGCTCTGCTTCCCAAGCCAACTGTCCTACTGCCGGAACCTTCATTCATAGATTCCCCTCTGTGCAGCCAACATCTACCTGCTTGTGTCTGGCTCTTGGAACCAGATGTTGTTCAGGAGTCGAAACAAGGAGACTTTTTGGAATTGCTCTGGTACATGGGCTCCTTAGACCTTCTAAGAGAATTTTTATGTCACGGAAGGGGTTGGTAAATAATAGATTCATTCCCATAGCCTCTGAATGCTCTGTTTGCCTGACAGGCTACATGCCAGGTCTATTCACAGCTCGATCACTGGATAAGCAGACATCTGTTTCTTGTGACACCACATGCCCTCTGGTGAGGGTTGCTCTTCTTTCCCCTTGGTCAGCCAGGGCGTTCCACCAACCTGGTCACCTCACTCTTACCCTCTTTATGTCAAGGCCATGTTGTGGCCTAAATCTGGAATGCACAGTGGGTAGGACCTGTGTCTGGAAGGTAAGAGTCCTGCCCCATCATATATCAAAGGCACTTCATGAACCTACGGGGGCTCTTCTTTATTCTCCACCCCAGAGAGACCCTTCTTGTCTAACTCCTTGGGAAAGAAGATGCCCACAGTGCTGCAGGGTCTGCTGCTACCCTATGGAGGCTAGCACAGGACCCAAAGGCTTACATGAGTTCTCCTACAAACCCATGACACAAAAAGGAAGTGGTTTCGGGAAAACACACACAAAGTAAGATTTTAACCATCGCCCAGTCCAGGTCACTGGAGAAAGACAGGGGCTCTCAAGCAAAAGGGCTGGGGCGTCAATAAGCTCCCATCCCGGCCCTCCTGGGCGCAGCACTCTTGTACCCAGAGACGCACTTGCCTTTCTCTGCTTATGCCTCGCACGCTTGGCTGCCCGAGTACTGCTTACTGGCTTGGTCTCTGAGCTGTTTATAAACTGTAACAAATCCTCTACCCTTCGATGGTCAACAACACTTTCTCGTTCGGAGATCTGATCCATTTTTTTAGGTTGCTCTTCTTTCCTCTTGGTCAGCCGCAAACGAAGCTTTTCCCGCATTTCTGCATAATTTCTACTTGTTGGAGCAGCGGGAGGCTAGGACACATAACGGCACAATCACATTAAGCCACAGTTCCAATTTAAAAAATCTCAAAACATCTCCAAAAATAACCTCTTCTTTAAAAAAATTACTCAACTAGTACAGGCTTTTGTGAAAAACAAGGAAATAAGATGGCAGAAGAACCAAGAAACAAACGGCAGAAGAACCAAGTATCACTAACCTAAAAATTATTTTTAGCACCTTCTTCTCAAGTTTTATATGTTTGTGAAAATCTGGTAAAATACACACACAATTTTTTTAAACCAAAAAGAAACAATTACACATACTGATTAATGTGTTTCTTTATTTAGTACAATGTGTCTACCCTTTCATATCAATAAATCTGTCTGCAGTATCTTTCCATCTGCTTGCAGGTTTCTGCTCCCTGGTCCTTCTGCTAAGCCTCTTATTGTTAAAAGTAATTATGCACACATTTTAGGAAATTCAGACAGAACTAAAGCAGAAAACTACTACTACATGCCTACATTTCCCACAGCCCATCCTGTAAGAAGCAGGACAATATTATTGGCCTGGTAGGGACAATATTATTGGCCTGAAAAATGTTCAAGCAAGCAGGTGTATCAACACCCTTAGTGTCATTTGTTTCACGAGGACTTGACTGTGCACACAGCACAATTCTCCTATGTGCACTTGTAGCTTGGTGAGCAATTCCCCACTAATTGTAGTCAAGGATCTCCCCCTACTTCACTGACTACTTAAAAAAAAAAAAAAAATCACAAATATAAAAATGCAGTGATAAAACCTCATTTCTTTAAAATTTTACAATATGGCAGTGGAAGTGCTACTTCAGGCTTGGTTTTAACTGCTATAGTTATAGCTCTGCACACAGTACGACCATACTCCAGATTCAACCTAGTGGGGCAGTCCTGCAGAAGAGTCTTCAGGCCATGCCATTCTCATGTCAGCACACGCTGACTGTGCACACTCACCCCGCCGTGTCCGAAGAACTCACAGTAGCAGCAGTCACAGTACTTGCCCTCCTTTTGATTGGTTGATGTTGAGGTACTGGAGCTATGCTCAGAGCAGCTGTCCTCCTCTGCACTCTCGTCCCCATCATCCTGCTGTGGATCATAGACACCGTTCTCGCAGCGGTGCCCTTCGCAGTCAGGGTCACTGGAGAAATGCACACAGCTTATTAGCCAGCAGCTCACCCTGGAGGCACTGACTCAGCACTGCTCCTCAAGACCCCTGCTGCTCTGCCCATTTCAGACACAGGCAGTGGAGAGCAGTCACTGCCACACACAGTCAGCAAAGACAGTGTGGCCACAGGACCTGGTTGTCCAGGCAGGAGGCACAGCATGCAGCTGTCATTCATGGTGCTAGTAAGGTGCCCCTGAACAACTCCTTCTACTATCCTGATTATTGCTGCTACCACTGCTTCTTCACTAGGGGGTGTGGGGGGCTTCAAACAGGCTAATTTGAAGGTAACAGACATGGTCTTTTATTAAAAACAAAAACAAAAACAAAAAAACCTCTGTGGAGTATGGTCTCTGCTGCACTATAAATGCTGTACAAGTTCTTCTGATTCTATCCAGGTAACAAATACGCCTTAAAAACAAACGAGTATTATACCCATGATGCTACCAGTAGCCAGAGGTCCACAGCAGCTAGGACCTCTATTCTTCCCTCTGCAAAACTAGAGGCTGAGATGGGAGCCCCCTCTCTGTGGCCTTTACTGGGGAGGTCCCCCTGCACTCCATTTGCATTTTATGGGACTTATCAACAATGAGGCCCCAGGGCACAGCACCCTATCTCCAAAGTGCCCTCAGTCCTCCCCACTGGGGCCTGGGTATCCACAGCTCACCTGCAGACACTGGGAGGGGCGCTGACGGAGCCATCTGTGGTGGCGGGCGGGGGTGCCATGGGGGCAGGGCAGAAGGTCTTACGCGTGTCCACAAACCCAGGAGCTGTGGTTGCAGTTTTGGGGAATGGTGGGGCTGCAAGATTTGCAAGGTGAGGTGTGGAGGCTGGGGAGAGCGAGGCAGGAGAGAGGGCTGGAAGCGGGGCCAGGCCTGTGGGGCTGTTCCTTGGGGCAGCAGGTGCTGAGTGTCTGTGGTCCTCCTTGTTGAGGCCATGAAAGACATCACCTGCACACAGAGAGGCGAGAGAGGCTGCCGAGGGCTGAGGAAACACAGATTGTTCGTGTTTCCTACAATTACATTTTCTTCATCAATGCTTTATTGAAAAAATGTTCAGACCTAGAGAAAATTTGAAGGAATAGTACAAAGAATACCTGTTCATCCTTTGTCACCATTTAGTGCTTTGTCATATTTACTTTATTTCTCCACATACACACCTGTTTTTGGCTTGAACTCTGGAGTACATTGTAGTACCTGGCCTCATGCCTGACTGCAGGCTCCTAGGTCCCCAGTGGGCCTGTTGCCAGCCACAGACGTCCAGCACCAGCACAGAGCTGCCGCCCAATGTGCACCCAGTCTGTGCTCAGGCTTCCAACACCCCAGGACCTTCAGCCCCAATGCCCCCTTGCCCCCCAGCACCTTATGAACTTCTTTCCTTTTACAACATAGGAATTTTTTTTTTTTAAGTTGTAGATGGGCACATTTATTTATTTTTATGTGGTGCTGAGGATTGAACCCAGTGCCTCATATGTGCAAGGCAAGCACCCCACCACTGAGCCACAACCCCAGCCCCACAACATAGGCATCTTTGAGAGGCCATGACAATCTGAATCATCTTGTCTTGTCAGAGTCAAGTGAAATGATCTGGGCATGAATCTTGCAAAATGAACTGGTTCCTCAATGTTTTCACAGCAACAGGAAGCACCCAAGGTCTACAGCTCTGCACCTGTCAAGCAGGGCTGACAGCTTCCTTCAGAAGGATCCCCTATTCCTGGCTGTAATGGGTCAATCCCTAGGGGTGCTCCTTTTGGAAAATAGAAATGTTGTAATTCCCTGAACTGGCGTTCCTCATTTCAATATCCCCTGAACACTGGCTTCAATCAGCTGCTACGCTACTGGCTTCAGAGTGGTGACTTTCTGCTTCTATCCTTCATACACACTGAATGGTAATGTGCTTCTGTTAAAAAAGCATTTTCCCTCTAAATGACTGGCTCTACCATCCCTATGGAGGCCTTTCTCTGCATGCTAGAATCCAATACACCTTTCCTCTGCCTCCCTTTAAAAAAAAAAAAATTTTTTTTTAAAGATGTTGATGGACCTTTATTTTATTCATGTATTTATATGCGGTGCTCAGAATCAAACCCAATGCCTTACACATGCTAAGCAAGCGCTCTACCATTGAGCCAAAACTCCAGCCCCGTACCTCCCACTTTTAATAAGCTGGTCTACTGTTATTGTTTTAATGATCACACAGTCTCAACTTTCGCTAATGAGGCCCCCTCAAGTCAGCTTCTGTGTCCCTTTGACATTTGCCCAGGGTCTCTGGTCACTTCCTGGCTTTCAGGCCCCTTTTTACTGATGGCAAGTGGATTTATCTGAGTAACAGGAGGCTAGGTGACAGGCAGCCCTGTCAATTTGCACCTGTTCTCTTCTGCTTGGCATTTTCCTAAAGCAGCTTCCAAGGAATCTATCACACACTCAGAAAGCAATGATCTCTTCCCATCATGAACAGTTAAGTGTTGAGAAAGGAGGTAAGATACAGTGTAGAGACGCCCAGGGCATTCAGAGTGACAGCTGAAATTCCTGAGGTTGGAGCTTTGTGCACGAACATTTTTGTGTGTTCATTATATCTGTGCCTCTGGCCACGTAAAAGACAATGCGCAGATGGAAGAAGCAAATAAGTCAAGTGGCTCTGGGTCCCAAGGGCTATGGGGCCTTACCTATCGATGGGGGTCTCTTGGACGACACCTTGAACTGGCTGTTGCTTGACTGCACCGTGGTGGCTGTGCAGGACACAGAGGATGTGGCGGAGGAGGTGGCCATGACAACTTTGTTTGCTTCCATAAAAGCATCTTGGAAATTGTACAAACATTTCTTTTTTGCAGCACTTTTTTTCTCTTTACTATCCGAAACTGCAGGTGCCTCGTTGCTAGATGGAGGTGGAAGGGTTCCAGGGCTTGCTTCTGAGAGTGCTGGCCCTAATATGTCACTCCCTTCAGAGAAGAATGGGAAAATTAAAGCTTCTAAGAGAAACAGCATCTTAGTGAAACCCTAACGGGCATGCTGAGGACTGAGCACTTGAGACTGGGGCTGCCACTGAAGTCATGACTCCTTTGGGGTGATGCTAGTCAACCAGCCTTTATTCTAGGGAAAAAAATTTTATTGAGCACCTATTATGTGCCAATTCCTGTGCTAGGTGCTTTTCAAAGTTAATGTCTTAAAACTAATTTCTGAGGTTGGTATTGTTATTCTAAAGATGAAGAAACTGAGGCTCATAGAGGCTAAGCAACTTGCCCAAGGTCACACAGCTAGAGATCCTTTCCAAGCACAGATCGGGATGTCAAGTCTAGCTTCTGTTCTGAGCACATGCAGGGCAGGGTGTGGGCTACCAGGAGCTCTAGCCACAGGAAGACAGAGAGGAGGCATAGGTACCAGCCCCTCATTAGGAGCCCCTGACCCTGAAACTGAAGCGACAGCCAAGCTCAGTAGCTGAGGCAGCTGGGAGGAAGGAGCTTTGGAGGGGAGAGATCCCATATAGGGTCAATACAGAAACCAGAGAAAAGGAACGCAAGCATTCGAGCAGACCATGGCCCTGTCCTCTTGCCCCTGTGCTCTGGATTGAGGTCTGGCTGTCTCCACTGCTCAAGAACTAAAGGCTAGGTAAAAGCCTTGGAGACCAAACCCTGCAAAGCATGATGCCACGCCATCGCAGCCCACTGTGCTGATGACCAGCCACGGAGCCAGAGCCTTGCTCGGTTCAGCCAATGCAACGGCTGACTGGTGGCAAATGTGAAAGAATGGAACGGGATGATAGGACTCCGGCCTCTGCTGGAGACAGAGGGAGAGGTAGCAGTCACATGGCTACACCTGGGCATCCAGGGAGATTGCAACAAAGATGGTCATCTACTCGGCTTGGGTTATTTTAAAACTTTAAGAAAGTTTTAACAAATTCCTTACCAGAAATTGTATCTGGCAAGAAAGTGCCAGGATTCCAGTTCTTATCATTCATCACTTCTGATCCCCAAAGACTTATAAATTTAGAACTATTCCACTCTGGAGTATTCCCAAAACAGCTCGGATAAATATGGTCTTGAAGAGATGCATTGAATACCTGATGCTTATTTGTGTGATTCTGAACAGGTGCTGGTGGTAAAGCCTACAAAAAAAAATTTTCTAATCACATATCAAAATTAATATTCTGTTTTCCGAAGTAATTAAACTACAAACAGACAAAGTGTGACTGAAGCTTGGCAGGATATGCTCCCTGTAAGTTGGTGCCCACGGGGGGCGCACGTCTCACAAAGCGCTTGGTGGCTCATTTATAAGACTGCATGTGTACGTCAAACTGCAACCAGAGGGACAGTTTTAAAAGCAACTGATGCCGTTAGACAACTCAGTAACTTCTAACATTCCTACCTACCCATGACTTACGTGTGATTCATCTGTGTAAGATCTGCTCTAAGGCTTATCCTCATAATGGCATTTTAACAATCATTTCTAACAAATCAGCTTTGGAGTCACTGATAAGAATGGTAAACCCTCATGCTGCTCTCTTACACCCGGACAAAGCACAGCATACATGGGAAGAGATGGAGGGATCTGTGCTGTGCTCTTGAGGAGCCGACTTGGCAGTGAGCCTCCAGAGCCTGGTGGTGCAGACCTCGTTGAAGGTATCAGGGGAAGGTGGCTAGGGTCTAGCCAGCATCCACATCCTTAACTAAGTGCCAAGTCATCTGGCAGCTCCTAGCACACACCAGGTGTCCTGGGCCCTTCCTATCCCTGGTCCATGCCTAGGCCCCAGGCCCATCTGTCCACCTCTCGGGGTCTTATAGTGGCTAAGCCTCCACTTCTGCACTTGGCCCCCTGTAGTCCTCCTCATAGCAGCCAGTCATCTTTTTGGAATTCCCTGCTTGGAAAGTTGAGGTAGATTCCTGTTGCTTTTAACAAAAAACCCAAAGTCCTTACCTTGGCCCTGTGGGACCCTAGGAAACTTGACCTGCCTCCCTTTGTCCTGCTCACCAATCCCCTTGACGCACAGGCCTTCCCTCCCCTGGTATCTGCTCAGGCCATGTCCATGTTCTGGGATGTCCGCATCTCAGTTCTCACCTCTCTCACTTACGCTCACTTACAGCCTTGGCCCAGACATTAATTTCCCAGAGAAGCTGACATTGCTGTCTCTGCTCTCACTAAGAAGACCCGACACTCAGGACCAGTAGAGTGTCCTGCTACACTCATGGAGAACCATGACCTTCCTTTCTCGCCACAGCTGTAACATAGGACTGACTTATAGCTTGCTGAGTTTATGTCTGCCATCCCCCAAGTTATGTATGCTCCATAAGGAACAGGCAATGCTGCACAGTGTTCCCTCAGCAGAAGTGAGGAGCTGCTGGAACGAGGTGTCCAGGTGTACACAGACAGCCTCACCCTGGATGAGCTACAGGTGCTAGAAGGACGTCTGGCCACCCCCCACCCTGCAGGATGCAGAAACAAGACACAGTGAGCCCTGTACACTCAGATGGAGAGTTTTAGAGATTCCCAATTGCAAGTGAAGATTTGGCAGAATCCTGAGGGCCTGGCTGGGGCAGGTGGTGAAGGGAAAGGGGACAGAGCACAGGGACAGTCGTGTATGTGGTCAACAGCGCCACACCCCACAGGCTCCATAATTGTGGGCAACAGCATGGTTAAGAGTAACTGTGTGGCTTCCATTCTGAATAGGCAGGGATGCCACAGAAGGTCTCAGGCAGCAAGGGAGATGATCTGGGCAGTTTAACAAGAAGATCACGCTGTGGCAATACGGTGGACAAACCAAAGAAGAGATGGCGCTGAGTCAGTGAGTGAGGAGATGGGGGTGATGAAGCAAAGATGTGAAGGCAGGAGGAAAGGAGAATTCCAGAGGTTTCAGACATGAGAGCAACTGAGCGTCTAGTGCAGGGACTACCAGTTCTGATTCCACCATGGGCAGTGTGGTCAGTGACAGAGCTGGATTTGAATCAAGCCCCGTCTCAGCCTCCCGTTTACTAGCTGTGTGACCTCAGGCAAATCACTCAATCTTTTTGTGCTTTAGTTTTCTCATCTCCAGGGTTTTTAGTTAGAGTTTTGTACATGCCAGGCCTGTAGTCAGTAGGCATTTGGTCATTGTGAAGACGAATTACTATTACTTTCTAAGACTATGTTCCCTAGACACAAACCAATTAACTTTCCAAACCCTCCCAACTGGGCCTATTCTTCCATACGCTTTGGGGCAGAGAACAAGTGGGCAGTAACTCTATTCAGGCTACCATCGTAGCTCAGTGCATCTACTGACCTCTGGGGGCTCAAGGAGGCAGAGGCAGAAACTTGTGACTTGAAAGCAAGGGCCCAAACTAGCTCTTCTAGCAGGGGAGCCCCAGGGGTCACAGAGCAAGGAGAACAACGAATCCTATTTCAACAGACCCCAGTTTCTACAAAGTAGTGAAAAGCTAAAGCTACTTTGCTGATAAAAAAGAGTCTTGGGGACCTTCTGCCAAGTGGCAGAAACACCTGCCAGGTACAAACTGGCCTGTTTTTTCTGTCTCACAGCTGGCTTAGAGATGTGTCAGCAGGTGAGCTCAGAGCCACTGCCTTCAGGGTTCTGAGCCATTTAGGTGCTTCCTAAGACTTTCCTCAGACACAGCTGTGTGTGTCTGGTATCACCTCTGGCCAGTCTGGCTGACACCTGACTCATCCCCATTCTTGGGTCCATACAATTCTCGCCTTCAAAGCCCTACTGCAGAGTGTCCCCTGCTTTGTGAAACCATCCCAGGTGCTTCAGCTTTCCCTCTCCAGCATTTCTTCTCTACTCTGCACTCACAGGATACATGAGGCATGCCAGAACATTTTGATGTTTTATTTTGATGTTTTTATCTTTAGACTGCAAACTCTTTGAAAACTGGGATCAGAATTACTGATTTTGGTTTTCTTAGAATGTAGCACAGGGCCGGGCACATACTAGGTGTTCAATAAATTTTTATTGAGCAGAATGCAGTTCAGAAGATTAAGGAATGCATATTAAATAGTAATATTGGAAGCATACAGTGATGATCCTACACATTCTACTTACACTTTTCTTCAGAAGCTCTCCTACTCAAGACGCGCAGGCCCAGGTATAGAGAGCAAAAGGAAGGGGAATCAGTAACCAAAAAAGTTGTAATCCCCCACCACCACCACCTCCACCACCACTGTTTTTACACAAGAGAGCTTAAAAGGTTTCTTTCAGAAAGAAGTAGTTGTCTGTTGCCAGACTATTCTTATTCTGGGCAATGCCTCAATAAATATCAACAATCTAACTATAAAGTAGGTCTTTCAAAATGTGGATAATGACTTTTTCTTTACACAAAATCCACAAAGCTTCAATTAATGTAAGTTTTGAACTGTTCTCCACTTCGACTCAAAAGAATTAATTTATAGGAATTAATTTTTCTTTAAGTGAAAGCTCTAACACAAACAGACACCATCAATAAGCGTACTTTGAAGCGCGCCCAGGAGCCACCCAGCCTGTCCTCTCTGGGATATGAGTGTGAAAGACAAAGAGCCAAGACAGCAGAAGGAAGACAAGACTGTTCACACCCAAGGGGATGTCAATGACATCTCATTTAACATGAAAGTTAAGATGAGCACTTCTTTGTTTCTGCCTAATGGAGGTCTTTCAACACTCTTTCTAGAGATAAAAAAGGTACAAAAGGACCACCTTTACGTTGGCCTTGCTGGTTCTCAGGCTGGTAGAACTATACTCTTGCCTCTAAAATAATATACAGATCAAACATGACACAATCCCCAAATTAGTTGTCTACTTATGCCCCTACTTTCAAAACAGTCTTTCCACCTCAGCCTGAATGGACACTATACATGGAATTGTTTTGTAAAACAATTACTATATTGAAAAAGGGCCTAGAATGAAGTGGAAAAAGGCCTTGCTGTGTTTTGACAGTATTAAACACTTCTGCAGTGGCTGTGCCTAAGGCTTAAAGCAATCTCAGAGTCATACCCAGCTACCCCACTTGCCAGGCGAGGCACTGAATTCCCTCAGAGGCCAGGACCCCCCTTACTAATACAGTGATTATTCTACACACACTCTCCATATTGGATGAAAAGGACATTATTTAGAGTTGGAAGCCTTGGTTCCAGCACAAATTCTGGCCCCACAAAGAGGAGACCTGCAACCTCAGACCATGTGGGCCAGCAGGAGAAAACCTGGTCTGAGAAGGAGCTCAGGCACATGTCACCTGCCCTCCTGCCTTTGCCTCTCTTCTCTCCTCTCCAAGCCGCTGCTCCCCAGGCCTGGGCTTTATCAGGTATCTGTACAATCAGGCCCTGGCAACAAACAACCAACTGCAATGACAAAATTACTAGAAGTGCCAAGAAGGTCCCAGGTGAAGGCAAGGGTCCTTGCCTGACCTGAAGGGAATGACACAGCCACAGAGACTGACTGATGTGGGGCCTAGAGGAGCTGGCCAGAGGAGGGCATCAGAAGGTCAGCACTGGGTTGGATCCTGGCATCTATAGAGGGGAACTCTCTTAAGGAAGGTGTCTTCCAGTTAGGGTCTTGGGCTCTCACAGAGAAAACTGCACAAAACCTGACATCAAGATAAAACTAATACAAGAAAACAGCATGCTTGAGTGATGTCACAGAAACAACAAAATAGATTTAGAGCCTCTGGATTTCATTTGCGCATAGAATAACTTTGTGTAAGAAAAGAGGAAGAAAGAAAAAGAGGAAGCTGGACACAGTAGTGCATGCCTGTAACCCCAGGTATTCAGGAGGCTGAGGCAGGTAAATCACAAGTTCAAGGCTAGCCTTAGGAAGAGGAGCAAGAGTGTCTCAAAATTTAAAAATAGGTGGGTGGGGCCGGAGATGTAGCTCAGTGGTTGGAGGAGAGGAAGAGAGTAAGACAAAAGAAAGGAAGAAAGAAGAAAAAGAAAAGAAAATCAAGAAAGAAAGAAAAAATATAAAAAGTGAGATGTATTTGAAAAAACATAAAGCTTAGAAATAAGAATTACAGCTCAAATTACAACTTACAGACACCATTAGACTATCATTTAATGGGTAGATTGATCAAAAAATCATTCAGAACACAGAACTGAGAGAGGAGATGGGAAACTTAGAGAGCTTTCAAGTATGAAGAGCAGGTGAGATCATGT